GTTTCATTCAGGGTTTTCCTACCTGCTCAAACTAGAGACACCTGTGCCTTCTGTGCCCCTCGCTGCTCCAGGGCACCTGCCCTTTCTTCCTTGCCTCTCCTCAGTGCTCTTTCTGGGGTGTCAGTGCACTGTTTTTGCCATGATCTCAGGGGATTTGTTTCTTTACCTGGAGTGAAGCATTGCATCACAAAGCTTTTAAAACAATAGCATTGTAGATTTTATGCAGATTCTAATTACAATAGAAAGGTCTGCAAATGCCCAATCCATCCTGATTCCCCAATCAGGAGTGCCCAAGTAAATTTTTTTAACCAGTTCTCTGTACATGCCCTTGATCAATTTTCTGAAACCCTTCACACTTTAAAGGGTAAACTACTTTGCTTTATGTCACCTCAGGATAAGAAAATACTGGAATAGTGATCTCTTTGAAAGCCTGCAGAACCACGTCTGTATGCATGCTGCCAATTGTATCCTTATACTTTTGCCCAGGTTCTTTTCTTGTTAATCTATCGAATCTTTGGAAATTGGAATTACTACTCTTGGAATAAGTCATTATACACCACCAGTTTGTTAGGCCTCCAAGTCTATTTTCTGACAAGTGTCATCTCTTTCTACTTGGAATCCTAGGTTAAAAATGAATGGTGCTGTACCTGTGGATGCCTTTCTTCCCACACTGAGAGCAGGAGATAGATGTTGACTGCTGTGACTTAGAGGCCTCATCTCTGTGAGCGCCATGTCTGCACATTCTATGTCTCGTTAATAGGCATGGGGCACAGCATGAAGGTTTTGGTTTATGGAATGTTAAGTTGCTTGGGGATTTGGCTTATGGAAAAAATTTTAAATGAATGTCAAGTGAGGTAGCTGAATTAATAGGTTTTTTTTATTCATTCTGCAACAGAATAATCACCTTTAGGCAACCAGACCTTTTTAGAGGCTACACAGCTCTGACAGGTTTGGATTTCATGATAAAAGTGATACATTAGGCATGTCTGTAATCTCAGTCTTTATGCTTTGTAGGTCACAGGTATGATGTTTGTAATACTAGTGCAGTCGTGGATGGGAAGACATTGCTGAGCTCTGTAATCAGAGGGTCTTTGAAGATTTTGTGGTATTGGCTTTGTGCTTTCACATAGGAAATACAAATGCAGAAGGTTCTGCTATCTTTGGGTAGCAAATTTGAATGGTAGTCCCTTCCATCTGTGCCCTCACAACCTTGGGTTTTTGTTGGTTGTCAGTTCAGGTGCTACTGTAGGGTTTTGCTTTCCAAATGGTTGGGTTAGCTAAGCGCTCCAAAAGCTGCACGAAGGGAACTGGGAGAGTGAAGCTTGGAACTGGAGAAGCTTGCCAGGGATGGCCACGCTTCTCCAGGGAGCCCTGGCCAGCCTTCTGGGCCAGGAAGCCATCATTCCCTGGTTCAGGCTGCTTGATGGGGGAAGGAATGTGATCACCACTACTTTGGTTTTATTGGCCTGGGCTGGGCAGTTAACGTAGCAAAGAAGCAATCAATTCTTTCTACCTCCCAGCTTTCCTATGTATAGTTTGGATCATCAGCCTGACTGTAACAGAGTTCAGAGTTAATCTGAGTACAGTTTCTTTCCTACTGTGAAATTGTGATTCTCACGTCAACAGATACAGAGAGAGTCCGAGAATGTGGTCTTTCAGGTAGCTATGTTGGTTAGGACGCTTAAAACCGGGGTTTGCCTGTATTGTCAAGATGAGTGATCATGGCTCTGCACTTGGTCACCAGGCCACATCATGGAACCCAGGCAATGCTTGGCTGTGTGCTTTCTGGGCCTCAAAAACACCTGTCATGGTCATGTCCCCATTCCCTGCAGTGAGATCTGGAGGGAGATCAGAGAGATCTCATCTCTCTCTGCCTGGGCTCTGCAGCTCTTAGCCATCTACAATACTGTCCTCCTCTCTCCTGCCACATAGTAAGTGTATTTCTAAGCGAGAGTTGAAAAGTTCAGCTTATTTTAAACACCTTCCTCGCAATGTGTCCTCTGTTCTGTTCACCACATTCACCTCTGAATGCTTGTCATTGTACTCTTTATTTGATGCCTTCAAAAATGGCCATGGAATAATTTTTCTTTGCTTTTGCTGCAGTCGGGTGTTCAGGGGTTGGCAGCATGGTACAGAGGAAGGCGTAGCATGTTCATTGGTAGCCAGTTGAAGTTCTACTCCGTCTGTGTGGCTTTGGTTAACCACTTAGATTTCCAGCCTTTTGCTTTCCAGGTCCGATAACTACATTGATCTGTCATGCTGGGGTGGTCCCTAATCCCCAGAACCTGTGCGTATGTTGCCTCCTGTAGCAGGAAAGACTGCAGGTGGGTATGGTAAGGATCTTGAGATTAGGGAATATTTGCATTCTCCTAAATAAGGGGTGAGTGCTAGGCATGTGTCATCCTAGGAGCCTTTGTAAGAGGAGTTCAGGGCGTCAGAGTCAGGAGGACATGGGAGGACTGAAGTGACAGTGGAATCGAAGTGTTGCTGGAAGGCAGACCCCATCTAAGGGCTCTGCAGGGACGCCTTCTCTTTTAGGGCCTCCAGGAGAAGCCCTGCTTTGTCAGCGTCTTGATTTGAGCCCTGTCAGACCCATTTTTGGACTTCTGACTTCCAGAACTATGAGATAGTAATTGTATTAATTTAAAGCCACCAAATTTGTAGTGATTTGTCACAGTAGCAATTGGAACTAAGCACAAATATTTTCTCTATAGAAATTTAAAAAATTATGAATTCATTTTAAAACTTAATAAACATTATATGTTAACATAAATTACTTTTTTAAAATTTGTAGTTCCAGGGATCAAACCTAGGGCCTTGTGTGTGCTGGGAAGGTGCACTACAGCCCATAAATTAACTTTATAAAAACTATTTCCTAGTAATTAATGAGAAGACTACCACTATTTCATGTCTGGCTAAATAGAAGATAGCCAGGTTCTCAAGTCTGCTCTGTAGTCAGTCTGTTTCCAGTATCATGTGTCATGTCATCTTAAAAAAATAAAAAATACTCCATGGTTAGTTACACTCATGACAGCATGAACATTAAAAAGACAAATAGCTGGTGGGTGCAGGTGGTCCACACCTATAATCCTAGCTACTCAGGAGGCAGAGATCAGGAGGATCACTGTTCGAAGCCAGCCTGGGTAAATAGTTTGCAAGACTCTGTCTTGACAAAACCCTTCACAAAAAAGGGCTGGTGGAATGGCTCAAAATGTAGGCCCTGAGTCCAAGCCACAGTACTGCAAAAAAAAAAAAAAGAAAAAGGCAAATAATGTCTTAGTGTGAAAATATTTATTTCTGGCCACATGGACTACCTAGAAGGGTTTTGGGATTTTTAGGGGTCCACAGCTTACACCGTGAGAACCACTAGGCTGGAGCCTAGCCACACAGCCAGATACCTAGCTGCAAGAGAGTCTGGTAACTATGGTTCTTATTCTGGGTGTCAGTTACAAAAGTAGGAGTTCTATTAAGATGAAAGAAAGATCGGCTGTTAAAGGACATTTAGCAAACTCAAGGTTTGATACACATGGCAGGTAGATGTCTTAGGCTGTTTTCTATTGCTGTAGCAAAATACCTGAGATGAGGTTATTACAAAGGATAAAAGTTTGTTGGGCTCACAGTTCTGGGATTTAGGAAATCCAGGAGCCCAGTGGTGCCAGGTGCTGTTGAGGGACTTCTTGCTGCATTGTAACATGGTGGAAGGCATCACATAGTGAGACAGCAAGGGTGCTAGCCGTGGTTCTCTCTCCTTATAAAGTCTCCAGTGCCCTCCTGGGAGTCCTACCCTCATAACCTCATGTTTTGGGGGCATATTCAAACCATAGCAGGAGACAATCACCAAAATGTTAGTTTCCTATCTCCTTGCCCTTAGTTAGCTAGGAAAAAATGAGCATTTCTTACTTAAATGATTTAGAAATATGTATGACAAAACACAGTAACATGTAGGCAGAGGCATAACTGCAATGAATTGCATTTTTAGAATTTGTAGATAAATAAACTATCTTTTGTTTGGTGCTCACAGGCAGTTTTTGATAACTTGTTTGGGTCTTTTGAACTTAACAATATGCTTCCTTTTGGGTAGGAGGAAAATGGAAATGAAATTTAATGCTTGCTTTGATGTGTAGTTATTTTTCATGGGTTTGAAAATATATGGGCATGACCTTTCCTCTGGGGTCATTTTATAAACAGTCCCTGCCACTCCCTGGCAGCATCCTGTCATTGAAGGATAACCCAGTTCCAGTTTCTTTTGTGAAACAGTGCTGAGGCATATTTGTGCCAAAGTATCTTATACTTTGAAAAATGTTATGTATAATAAAAATAGTTTGGGCTTAAGTGTCTTAATTTTGAGCTTAATACAAAGCTTAATGATGGTTTCATTTATTAATGACTATGTATTTAATGTGATATTTAGAGTTATCTTTTAATAATTATCGTGATATCTTTGTGTGACTGAGTACCAAGTACCTTGAAATAATCAAGGGCCTGTGAGTGACCTTGAGCTGTTATTTCAACCTCTGGGTGAACACCTGTGTGTCGTTCACACCTTGTATTGTCCATTTCTAACTGAACTGGTGGGAGGACTGTTTGGGTTTTGGATGGGTTGGGGGAGGGAGCACTGGGTAGAGAGAAGGGGTACTTGTTTGGGAGCCTCAGCTGTGATCTTTGGGTGACCTTCCAAATTGGAGCTGGGAGGGGCAGTTTTACTGGCTTTGGTGATTTTCCCCAGAAGCCTGTCAACTGTCTATGGTTGCCAGTTTCTGTCTTTATCTTGTGGTGCACTACAAAACCAGGAAGCAGGGTCTTTCTCAGTTAAACACTTGATTAGGACAGAGAGAGAAGCAATAGTGTAATGAACTTGTGTGACTGGGGATATCCCTATTTTGGGGTATATTTCAGGTCATTCCCTAGAAGTTCCCTGGGCTAGCTGTCCTGGAAGTATGCTACGTGTTCCAGTAGGGAGAAGTGCTTCTAACTGTGGTGCCTTTCTCTTTCTTTTCCAGATGTCCACGTATTAACTTGGGCTGCTGTGGATGGCAAAGGTCGGTATATTGCCTGTTAGGAAAAAGTCCTGCTTGAAAAGCCAAGTGATTGATTGCAACAGTCAGTGTTACTGGAAACATGGGCTGAAATCTTCTGATAATTTAAAATTTAGATTGCTAAACATTTAACGTTTTGGGAGTGCTTGCATTAATGAATCACTAAATGTCAAGTGGCTATGGTAGAGGCTCACTTACAGCGAAGGGCCAAGAGCAATGTCTGATTTTTCGCTTCAGCTCCCTAGTAGCCTGTGAACCTCCCCAGAGCTGGCTCAGGAGAACCTGCAAGATGGGAGCCCGTTTCACAGACTGCCAAACCTAGGTCATTGCCTTGTGCACAGAGGGCTCCGGAAGTGGTATGTGACAGTTTAGGAAAGATGAGGTCTTTCTGGAAAGAGACTATTTGCTACAGTTTCCTCAGCTGATTGTAAATGCTTGCTGCCTCTTGAACTCAGAGTCTTCCCCCAGCCCATCTCATGGCAGGTGTCCTTAGAAATGGCGTCATAGAGACAGAGCTTGTCTTGCCCTCCCTCCCACCTCTCCACCAGCTGAGCATATCTGCTTTTGCCCTAGCCGGTGCCAGAATGGTCTGGGCTTGTTGCCTGCTCCCTCACACCATCTCTGTGGGTTCTGCCCCTGCCTTCTCTCAGATATCCAGGCATCTTCCTTCTGCATTTAGTTCCTTTGTGGTGTGCTTCCTAATGGATCATGAGAACCATGCTTTCAATCGATTTCTTTCTTATTCAGACCCATCTATCTCATGATGCACTCCCTCAGAGCCTGGCTTCCAACCCTGCAGTCTGATAGTTAGACCTTGTATATCCACAGAACATTTATTGCTGACCTACTGTATGTCTGGGAGTTTTGTGTACAGATGTCAGGACTATTGGGGTCACTGGTATAGAATAGGAAGAGACATGGGAAGAAATAGCATTAATGATTAGTAACAGAAATATGTGCAGGCTAAAAGAGAAGGGGTGATTCTACCTTAAAAGATGTTGTAAGAGTGGGTCCCTCTGACAGGAGGAGGAAGTCATGGCAGACACAAGCGAAAGCCACTGATGGCTTCCTAATAAATGTCCCTCTTTCTGATTGCATTTCCATGTGACTAGTCAGACCTCTGCAACTGAAGTATCTCTAATGGTGGAGCCTGGTTCACCATGGCAGGCTGTTGGAAAGAACCTTTTTGGACCTAGGGGTGTCCCTGAGGGAACATCACATGGATAGTTGTTAATTCTGTGCATAGTCTGGATGAAGCTTTGACTGAAAGAGAGGATAAGTGGTCTTCATTGAAATCCTTAAGCCTTGGAGGTCTGAGGTCCTTCTGCTTTGAGAATCGGTTGGTTAAATACTTAATACTCAGTTGTTCAGCTACTTGGTTGCCCTATTCCTGCTGAGGGACTTGAACACCGAGTCCAAGGAAGAGGCTCACATATAAGGACCCTCCTCCTGGTCTTAAGTAGACTGTGCTTTCTTTCATTGTACTTGTCACAGTTTTTTTTTTTTTTTCTTTTGAGAAACATGCCATCTTTGCTAGTTTGAGATAAAGATAGCTCCACAGGGAAATTTCTTGTGTTGTGTTCATGTATATATGTATTACAACTCTAATTGGTTCATCTCTATCAGTCCTACTGTGTGCATGTGAATCTCTTTCTCACTCTGAGTTCTTTTGAAGGCAGGAGAAACTGTTCTCTGGTTCACTGTTTTATCTACCCTGCCTGTTGCAGGGCCTGCCATATAATACAGGAGTACTAAATAGGACTTTTGTGAACTAATTTGTCAACCTTGGTTTGTACATAGCAGCTGGAAAGTAGATACTTATATTTTGATTTGGTTGGGGGAAGAAAGGCAAAAGAAAATCATCATCATCTGCCAAGTACATGTAGGAGAAGATGTTAATAATATCAAGTGATCATTTCAATATATAATGTGCTTTGATGAACCAGATTTATATTGTGATTTTGGTGTGGTTATTTATGTCTATACATATGATACAATTTTACAGAACCATGTAGGAAAAAAGGAAAAACTAGTGCTCTAAGGAAACCTATTTTGTTAATAGTATTATATGATGCCAAGTTCCTGCTTTTGATAATAGTGATGTAAGATGGGAAAGCTGGGTGAGGGATATATGAAAATACTATTATTTTTGAGACTTCTTGAATCTAAAATTATTTCAAAATCAAAAGTTAAAAAAAGAAACATGAGATACCATTACACACCTATTAAAAGTTGCCAAACCCCAGAAATATGGAACAAAGATGCAAAACAACTTGAACTTTCTTCCATTGCTGGCAGAAATGGGAAATAACACAAGCTCTTTGGAAAAGAGTGAGGTGGTTTCTTCTAGAGTTGAGCAGCATTTCCAATCAGGTATGTGTCAAAGAGAAGTAAAAACCTTTGCATAAAAAACTGCAGGCTAATATTTTTAAGACTTTTCCAAAATTGTAAAAACTCAGCTGTCCTTCAGTTAGTGAATTGATACACAAACCATTATGTCTATCAATGGACTGCTGCTCATCAGTAACTATGTGGATGAATCAAATGAATTTTGTTATGTGAAAGTCAAACTCAGGAGTATGACCAGTGTGATTCCATTTACATAATGTTCTAGAAAAAGAGAAGTATAGAGTTAAAAACAGGTCATGATTGCCAGGAGCAAATGATGACTCCACACAGGGAGTAGAGAACCATTGGGGGTGAATAAATGAAATGTTTCATGTTTCAATCATGGGGGCCACCACATTTGCCAAAACTTAAAAATATTAAGGATGGGTTACTGCATGCAAATTTTGCTTCAGTAAATTAGACTTTAAAAGTGAAAACATTACAACAACAAAATAATCAATGGTGTGCTTTGGCTTAAAGAATCGTGAAGAATGCAGTGTGTCTTCCATGTGTCTATGGTTGGATAAGGATTTGTTAAGTTGTTAGTTATACAAGATGCCACATTCAAACACTGGGCTGCATTTGAGGACTTTGGCCTGTAACTCAGCCATGGAAATAATTATTACTGTAGAGGTGGGTACTTTCATCGTCTTTGTTAAAAGAATGCTGCTGACTCTCGCCTTACCAATGCAGACTTTAGCATGTGAACATTTAGTCAAATTTCATCATGTCTCCTCTTCTGGTTTCTTTACCATTGAAAGAATCATTACTAGAATGGAGCTGAAATTCCAGATTGTTTTAAAACTAGGATTTACTACATTTAATTTAGGTTTACTGCTAGTCAGTAGTCAATTCAGTTGAGTAAACACTGGCTAATCGTTGACCATAATGCCTTGCCAACACTTTGTGAGGTGTTGGATTAACACAGAAAAATGAGCCTCAATCCTTGTTTTGTTCACCATCCAACACAGGGGACCAAACCACACAAGTCTAGCTTACATTCAGCACTTGGAGACTGCTAAAAGGGAAGACATTTTGTAGGAGACGTTTGGGTTGGGTCTAGACATGTAAGTAGTTTTTGTCAACTGTGGAAGAGTGAATGTGGGGTTTCAGGCAGGGGTAGCTGAGTGTTGGGGAATCTGGACATAAAAGGGAGGGCAAAGAATTTCCTTCTTCCCAACTAAATAAGAGTTGAAGTGAGAGCTATCTAAGATACAGTAGAAGTTGCTGCTTCTGTGGATCGTGGGTTTCCTTTATTGATTAGTAGGGGGATGAATGCTAATATATTAATTTCTAGACCCGCTCATATTATTAGCCAGTGGGAGCTTATTATTGTAATTATTGTTCCTATAATTATAGTGGGTAAGATAATTAATTTGGCAGTGGGGTTGATTAGTACGGGAAGGATATAAACCAACATTTTCAGGGTATGGGCCCTATAGCTTAATTTAGCTGACCTTACTTTAGAGTTGAGTGTAATATGGTAGCACGAAGAATTTTGAGTTCTTAGGATTAGGTTCAATTCCTGTAGCTCTAGAAATAAGAGGGCTTAAACCTGTATATTTTACTCTATCAAAGTAACTCTTTTGTAAGACATATTTCTATATTTGTGGGGGGATGCTTGATATGGCAATGAGGAGAGATACATATAGTATGCAGACGGCCAAAGTAAGTGGGAGGAAGTTTTTTCATAGTAGATGTATAAGTTGGTCGTATCGGAATCAGGGGTATGATGCTCGGATTCATAGAAATAGTATGGGGAGGCAAAGGGTTTTGATGGTGAAGTTGATTGTGTATAGTTCTGGGGTTAGAGGGTTGTGGAATGCGCCTCAGATCTGCTCCTGCAGATATCTAGAAAGCTTTAAAATTATAAGTAGTTCATTTCTTTCTCCTCTATTAGTTTGTATTGCTGCTGTAACTAATCACCATAAAGTGGGCAGCATAAAACAGCACACCTTTATTGTCTCAGACTTTCGTAGACCAGAAGCCTGCCATGGGTCACATGCTTGAGTGAATGAATAGTCCTTGCTGTTTTCAGCTTCGAGAGGCTGCCAGTGTTCTTCGGCTCACAGCCCTTTTCTGTCTTTATCTTCTCTCTGACCATCCTTCTGTGGTCAATTCCAGGAAACGCTTTTTGATTTTCAAGGACCTGTGTAATTGGGCCCAACTGGATTCAGAATGCTTTTTCTATGTCAAGATCCTATTGCCAGAATGGTACAGACCCGTAATGTTGCACCCACACCTCAGTCTTCAGGAGTGGTCAGTACCCCAAGGTGATAGACGTAGTGTTCAGCTCTTAGTCACACAAGGTGCTCTTGTGTATACATTCTCATTTGATTTTTACTTAACAGGAGTCACATATCAAGTAACTACCATTTTAAATAGAGCATCGCTGTCACATAGCACCTTTGGGGGACCCATTTATGGCCTAACTGGTGGGAGCCCATCTTAATCAGTTACTCTGCCTGTTGCCCCTGAGGCATCTGTGGTGGGGTTGAGTAGCACCCATTCTGCTCAGGCTGAGCTGGGGCTCTTGATAATCTAAGGGTTCACTGTTTTGGAGCTCGTGGTAAGAACAGAAGTTCTCTGGAGTGTCACCACTCCAGGGTGTTAGC